GCTATTATTCATGGAGATTAAAAAAACTGACTGAAAATAAGAGTTGTTTAATTATTCCGTGGACTTATTATTTCGTACGGTTATTCTTGTGTGGGATTTGGTCTGGCGGAGTTCTTCCTCAGAGCGAGCCGAATGTTTGAACAGTCGGTCGGTCTGCAGGGAAGGGGATCTGCAGCTCAGCCGTATAACGCCGTGGAATTTGATTCCTGTGGCAGAAATAGCCCATCTGATGCGTCTAATAAGTGTTGCAGGTACCTCTGTAATGTAACGCAAGTCTCTGTTCAGTTTTTCTGGCTCCAGGTCCAAAAAGGGTTCGGGAGAGAGACGTAGGGACCAAGAAGGGAGAGGGCGTGCACTCCACGGAGTCCCTGCTTCTCCCCAGATATGGTCTGTACCTTTTTCGCTGGTGCGCCACTAATTTAACACATTAAACGTAGCAGTAATCAAATGCGTTCAGGGGAAACTTATTCATGTCAATAGTATCTTTTAATTTTCTTACTTAGTTCGCGTACACCAGTGGTACGCATACCATAGGTTGAGAAACGCTGTTATATACAATTGTCCACACCATAGAGACTTTCGTACTTGTAAGACTTGAGGTTCTCACAGCGGTGAGTATGAAGATTTCTGTCTTCTGGGTTGTTGCGCTGTGTAGTCTGGTCGATGTTAAACCAACGTTTCAGAGGTCATACTGCCTCCATCATCAGGGCGATGAATATTCACTTTCGTACTTACTTATGATCACCGCCATAATCATTGTCATCACGTAGCAGTCACAGAGTTGGGTCACTTGCTGTGAGGGTGTGAACGTGGTCTTACCCGGCACTTCCGGCTAAATGCTTCAGGAACAGCAGCAAAGGATTTAATGCAAAGTAATTTTTGAGAATGGACGTAATTTTTGCACGTGAGTGTACCACGGTCTCAGCTCTTAACTTCCCTGGCGTGAGCAACAGCATCAGCCTAGGTTAAGCACGACTACAAGGCCAAATGAGTTAGGGCGTCAGAAAATTTTGTTTTCGTATTTCTTAATCAATAGATTAAGGCAAACTTGCGAGACAGATCACGAACACTTACTTCAAAAATTCTTCTGGGCTTCATTTTATTTGTGAGTAATTCTGTAACATGCGTTCCGATGGCTCAGTCCTCTGGCAATCTTGAATCGGTTTTGTCCCTTCATTTTGAAATGGTAATGGTCGATGGAGTTCTTCGTTAATGCGAGATTGTTCTAGAGACACACACGCCTACTTCATTAAGGAGTTCTAACAGTTTACATTTAAATTCCTTTGCTGAATATTTATAGAGTTCTGAATTGATATTATCATCTGTTAGGCTCTGCCCTTCTTGTTTCAACTAAATCGTCTGTTAATTCTTATTACTGTGTCTTTTTCATCGTCTTCTGTTTATTCTCGTGACCACTGGCGTTCCATACATCCCTATAGAATTAAAACATTAAATAAATTCGTATAATTTCTTTAGTTTATTTATTCAAGAGTTTTAAAATTTCGTACGTGTACTGTCTCACCTTAAGAAAATAATATTCTACACTCCTTGCAAGTTTTTACCAAGACAGTCTTTAACTTTTTATAACCCTCGCTTGGTTATCGCAACCTTTCTCTTACGGTGAAATTTGCTTCTAATTCGAAGACCTGTTTTCAAACTTTGTTTCTGTATTTTCTCACGCTTTCACGTACGTTTTCTGATATTTTTAATTATTCCCAAATTTTTAGTAATTCCATTCCGTAGAATTCTTGGCATGTGTGAGAAGAGTCCTGAAGAAGAACGGAATGCGTCCAGCGAAAGTTTCGGATAGGAGTGAAGCGTTGGGTTGCGTACACCCCTTGATGAAGTTTATTTGTTGTAGACACGAAGCCTGTGTCCCCCTAACTATCAATTATGTTTTTCCATTCATATGTAACTTTATGTATTTCTTAATTCTACTGTGTTCGTAGAGATTTTTTCGTATAAGCTGCATCTTCATTAACCTGAGCCATTTTCTTCAGTTCGCTTAATCTTTTGCGAAAATACTCTGAGGACATCTTTCTCTCTCTGAGATCATTTTTTCATTCCTCTGAGCCTCCAAATACCAGCCCTAAACCACGCTAACCCACTCCTGTTGTTCCTTGTACGTGCTAAAATCTGTGCGTTCTTCTGTAGCCCAGTGTAGTTTCGTATCACAGAGGATATGAATGACCTCCTCCTTCACACGTCTGCAAATAAATTCTGTTTCTCTATGGCACTGCTTATTTCTCTAATTTATTTACCCTTCTTTGCCAAAGACATCCTAGGCCTCTTTTGTTTAATTATTCACTCAATTCATTTGCTCACCTTCAAAATCTTAAATTATTTGCAACTTATAACTCGCTCTTGGCAGTAATTTCTTGCCTACTGCCAAATTCGTAGCCAGCGTTTCACATCGAAAGACTCTCCCTGGACCAACAAAATCCAGTCTCCTTCAACTCCTATCTCCCATAGATCCCGCCTGAGATTATCCTCCCATCTACGTCTAGGTCTCCCCAGCGGTCTCTTCTCCTCAGGCTTCCCAAAAAACCAACCAGATGGCTTAGGGAACCCGAAGGTTCATCACCGAATTAACCAAAGCCCTGTCCTGGGCCAACAAAATCCAGTCTCCTTCAACTCCTATCTCCCATAGATCCCGCCTGAGATTATCCTCCCATCTACGTCTAGGTCTCCCCAGCGGTCTCTTCCCCTCAGGCTTCCCGACCAGTACCCGGTGAACATCTTGCCCCCATCCATGCGTGCCACATGCCCAACCCATCTCATTCTTCTCGACTTAATCACCCTGACAATACTGGGGGAGGTTCATCTTTATGCAGTTTTCTCCACGCCCCATCGTCTTTTCTCCTAGGCCCAAATATCCTCCTCAAACACCTGCAATCTGTGTTCCTGCCTCAGAGTGAGAGACCATGTTTCGCACCCATACAAAACAACAGGCAGAATTATTGATTTGTATATTTTAATTTCCCGTGATAACAATTGAAGAAAATGTTCGACTTTTACGAAACTTTACACAAATATCAGACTAACGAAATCTTCAGGACTTTGAAATTCCTACCATAAGTAATAGAAAACTTACGGCTGTGTGAACTTCTTAGAGATAGCAGCGACATTACGTATTGTGATTTTTGGCGATACGTTTACGAGAGTTTGAAACTGTACAACCAACTTCTGCGAAGTTACAACGCTTCGAAACAAACAGCACGTTTGCCACGTAAATTCGACGCTTAGTTTCCAGTTTGCGAGCTGTGACTAATGCCAGAGGGCCGTTACATTTGTATGAGAAACATTTTCTGAGGATGTCAGCAATTATAAAAACGTACCAGCAGTCCGTGATGCTGAGGTCTTCTGGCACATACAACGCCGTCGGGATTATTAATTCCATAGATGGAAATATTTTAGAGCAAATTAGGCATCAGAAGTCGCTGCGAGAATCCAGTGCAATGGCGCGGGATTCCGTGTGTCAGTTCCTGTCTTCCCAGCTGAAGTTCTGTTGTGTTGTTACGCAATTAAGTAAGGAATTGGCGTGTTTCTTCCGGCGACGAGAGACCGGATTCCACGCCGCAAGTGAAGCTGGTTGTCACTGAGGAATGCGTTTTGAGTTCCTAGAGGAAGGTGCCAGGTTCAAGTGCCAGCTGAGACGAATTCGCCTTCTTCTGGTATGTTCATTTCCTCAGCCTCTTCAGACGTATTCTGGGACAGCAACCTAGGACAATTTGCGACATTTCCTCCACTTTCTTCGCGATTACCATTCTTACAAAGACACTTTAGGGTCCAATAATTGCCCAGAGTTTATCAGTTTTCGAATCTTTTTCGTGCTCGTTTTTTAAGCGCTGTGTCCTGATCGGAACTGAGTTAGAACAAGAATGGTGCGCGGCCTTCTGTATTTCCCAACGACTTGGATGGAATCATTATGGGTATCAGTTTTCCATTTTCCAGAAGTTGCCTTTCTTTATTGGGGTTCCCATTTGGTAGATCCTCCCCTCCCCCGTCGGCTGCACAACGATCCTTTCCGCCGCCCCCCCTCCCCCGCGCGACTGGTAACGATTCCAACAACGGGTTCGATGTGCTCGTACAGTCACGTGATATTCCAGGGGGACTGTCAGATAATTTCCCAATAATTTCTTTCGTCTCATTTTCGTACCCGAACGAAGTTAAGGTCTGTCTTCCAGTCAATCATTTCGTGTAATGTCTCGTTTGAAATGAAATTAAGTAATTTGTGGTGACATTGATGATGAGGTGGACGGACGTGTTCCAAATCGTTTCTGTTACCCACGCGTTCGCTTGGAGACTGACAGGAAACAAATGGAACGCCAGTCACTTGACTCTCTCGTCGTGCCTGGAGTTCGAACTACCGATCACTTGATGGCGGCACACTTTATATTGTTTTTGTGTACGGGCCGTACGAGGCACGCGGCTGCCTGGGACAGACCTCACCAGACGCAGGCGATCCAGGTACTGTGTCATCGGCGACTCACGTGTCCAGGCTGAGTGTACATTTGTGCTAAGGAAATACAAAGAAGACGCCGTGTGTCGACTGAAGAGAATTTTGGTGATTTTCATGCAAGATCGCCAATGAAATCAACGACGGAATTCGTCCAGGAAGCTGACACTTCGACCTCCTAAGCACGAACTGCTACAAAATTACAGAAGCTTCGCCCGTAATAAATAACGAGCGGTACAGCTACGAGGTTGCATTTTTGCGGTTGGTTTATCCAGTCAGTGAATGTTCTTTACAACAGAAGCCTGGCTTCTGGTAATGCTTATGAACGTGCGTGATGGCAAATTCTGGCTTTCGGAGAAACACACAAACACGAACCACCATTTCATGATCTGGAGGTTCGAAGGCGAATAATTGCCACTTCCTTTTAGTCCAGAAAGGAATTGTCATTTGACGTGAATTTCGTTTTTCCCAGAGTTAACAGAGGGAGAAATATTTACCGTTGGTGAGGCCTTAACTCACGTCTTGCAATTTTTATTTTCAGGGGAACTTGAAATCGAAGCGGACATGACATCTACTCGAAGAACATATTCAGGCAGAAAAATCCAGGACTTTTCCCAGAAGACCTACAACGTTCGAAACACAGCCCACGATTACGAACAGAAGGGGAACTCTTCCAGCACATCGTCCTCCAACTGGTAAGTTTGCCTAAAAGCTTGTGGTTTTCCTCATTCTGCCTCATTTCGATGCCGTAATCATGTCCTTCTGTGTTTATTGAAGACAAAGAGCTTAATGCAACCGAGAATGCATTCGTTTGGAGGAAAACCACGAAGATACCCGGTAACGACAGCCGGTAAACCGAATGAGGTCGGAGCCGGGTTTCTTCCCGGACCGTGCACGTCCTTCGTGTCACGTAGAGTGTACACAGCGTGGCGGGTGGCAATCAAGGCACGTACGTATTGGTTACGCCGGTCGCGAGTGTGGAATTGGGACACCTCCTGAATACGCAAGCTCGAGGTGGCGAAGGCCCATCGGCTTTTCCTGCACGTGGCGAGAAACAGGTTGACTCTCTGCTTGGCAGAGACACGCTTCTGGAAAAAATACGTGCGTGCTTATTTTGATGGGACTTCAATTTATTTCTGAGTTAATTGCTACCAGACGTCGGAGTGTTGTCTACTCGATTTCATGGACAAATTAGGAAAATAATTAGTTCATCTGCATTTCAGTGCTCCGCGCGTGATGGGCCTAATAGTTCCACAGGTTATATAGTTCATCGTCGCGGAGAAATTGCCGTTCGTTCTTTGGGTGTGTTCTATTATTCTGTACAACGTGCTTGAACGTCTAACAAGTTACAGTGTAATAAAAATAAACTCATACGTGATAATTTTATTCTGTGCACGATTAAAACAATTCCTTGTTTAAATTTATGTAGTGGCACTTCATTTTATAAAGCATGACTTATGCCCACCTTTATTCATTTGTGCGTGCTTCTAACAATTCGCGGGATGTGCGAAGGAACATTAAATGGGTGGGAAGGCACGAGACCTAAGAATTAAGGTACGGAAATGCCATTAAGTCCACGGAAAAGCCAACAAGAGAAAGTTTTAAAACGGCGAATTGAGGAATTGCTGTCCGTTATCTGTCTGGGACAGTGGAGCTCCGTCGCTGGCATCGGACACACGTCAGTAAATGCTTCCCTGCAGATCAGGGTTGCCCATCCTCTTCCAGGGGCCCACATTCGTGCCATCCTATCGACTCGCGGACGGCGTGGTTTTAAATTAGGACAGATTCTTGAAGCGCCGTGGCGAGTCATTATAAATGCCGCTAAATGGCATTTTTACGTGTTGTTGCAGAAAACACATTTAATCTTATTTAGTCGAAGTCAGACGTCTCACACTGATTTTACTTCAGTATTCGTTCAGTATCAGTTTTATATTGCGTGTGTCCAGCTGTTTTTCATGAAGACGCAGTTTCTCACAGCGTTGTGTGCTGCCAGATTCTGACAAAACGTTTTCTGATCGCAAGTGAGCGATCTTATTCGCATCGTTACAAATATGCTCGCGGTCCGGGCAGAACAAATCGACGGGCCACATGCGACCAGCGGCCCGAGGGTTGCTAAACCAGCTGGTGTAGAATATTTCCAAATTTTCGGTTTTTGGTATTGAACGAGTAAGCTTTCCGGCCTGGAGTGTTGCAAGCTGTAATTTTGTTCCTGTGCGTTTATCCGATTTGTACTTACAGGATATTGGGTGTCTGGAGAGAGTTTGAAGTTGCCGTGTGTGATTAATTAGCCATAAAAGAAATAAAGAGAGGCAGATCGAATTGAGTAGGGCAACCGCCTCTCGCCTCAGCCCCGCTTGGCTCAGGCAAGGCGGACAGACAGACAGACAGACGCCTTGCACCCGATCAGCGAGACCACTACAGACACCTTTTTTGAATCCTAGTAAAGGCACTTTTTATTCTAACGGTTTTCATAATTTAATTTTCCATGCGTTCCTAACGTTATCTGAGGCTGTATTTAAGTATCTTCGTAAATATTTACCCTCCTGTCTGATAATTTACCTCGTATTGCTGACTTTAGTTCTCCATTTTTGTTGACTGATTTGTGTACGTGTGTGTTCTTACACAAGAATTTTTTTAAATCCGTACACGGTCGTGTATATCTTTTTTGTTTTTGACAGTTCTGTTTGTCGTTCCAAAAGTAAGTTTCCTCCCAAAACATGATTTAGCAGTTTCTTTAAAATTGACAGCTATATTTGGGTACAATTACCCGTGTTCGATTTTCTAACGATGGTAATTGAATAAACTTCATTTGCATACGCGTTCCACGTTTGCAACTTTATTATTAACTGAGCTGCCCGCGTAGGACTACTGTTTGTGAAATCCTCATGGATATATTTCACAAATTTAGAACTTGAGATCTTTCACGGTAGTAAGGTACTCGCAGAATCATAATTGTTACAGCTTTCTGAGTCCAGACGATAAGTCACGTCTTACCACGCAAAACTGTGCAATAGAGAATCTCATTTGCTCCGTTTGTTAACGGGAGCTGGCGTTCTTACTGGACGCCGTAATCGTAGCACCCTGTATAACCAGCAGGCGAGTACTTTTTTGTTACTTACATTTATTTTAGGACGTCTGCTTGTCTGGCCGACACACGATTTACGTTTTTATATTCAGAAACGACACTGAAATTATCCCAAATAACATCGTTTTAAGCTTCTGTTTTAAAGATGCATACATGACGGTTTTTAAAATTCTGAAGTAACGGCAACTTTATCGAAACTTAATGTGGGATTCTAAAAATGTACACCTATGTGAAGCTGTGTATTCAAAAATGTCTAACTTCTGGCTCTGTTCGTAGTTATTGCTCCTTGATTAAATATTTTCACACGTTATGTAGTATCGTTACGTGGATTTAACACGTCAAATGTTAATCACGCAGGACCCCGGCCGTTGAAACTCATAAAGACTCAATTATTTGCTTTTAAATACTGAAGAATGGCCCTGTCGCAGGCAGGGCCCAGTTTTGAAACTACGGACCTCCCGGATACGAAGTATGATCTCCAGTCAGCTGGGTGACTTTACCTCAGTTGTAATTTATGTTAACGTAATTATTATTGAGGACCGGGGAACCGAAGGGAAGAATAAGAATAGGAATGAACGCGGGTAGGGATGATTAGACGTGTAAGTGCATTAGCGTCGCAATTGCTTCGGCATGCAAGGGGGTGGGAACCCTCTGTCAGCCTGACTGTGCTTCTCCACATCAGCAGATGTTCCAGGGCAAGTAATTTGATCCGTCGTTTTACAATGAAAGCCATGAATACAGAAAACGTGCGATAAACAGCGAGGAGATGTTGATGGATGGCGTTCCTTCCACTAGAGTAGGCTCGACTAAATTACGTTCTCGGCGCGGAGATACACCGTGACATGGACCAGTTAGCATCTCACACGGCTGACAGTGAAACATCGCCTAATAACTCCCAGATCTGTCGAAAACATCAAATGGTCGTTCACCTTCGGTGTGACGGCTTTACGGAGGCCATAAGCGTTGGACGAAACGAAGTTACGGCCGATTTTGTGACCTAAAACGAG